CCAAAAACGACGTTTTAGGGCCCTGTTTAAAGATAGAGGAATTTCTGGAAGGCTGTTTCAGATCGCGCAAGAAAAGTTTGACGCTGAAACTGTTCACAGAAAAGAGCAACTTAATTGAAAAAGTGCCTCGTAATTTAACACAACCTGGCGTCGTGTAAACACTCGGTGACTTGACTTCATGACATTTATATTTTCTATTCTTCAGGGAACCGGGCCAAGAATGCATTACAATGAGCTCTGCAACTGGCTTTCTTTTCAATCGCCACTGTGCATACACTTACAAGTACGTCTGTCTCGTCAACTAGTCCTCTCCAAGCTCAAGGAAATGCCTTTGGGGCCAGAAGGAAATACAAAAACAAAAGTCTACGGAAGCTCTACTCAAGTCGTTCCTTTTTGAACATTTTTGAAATTTATTGAAAATTTTCATGGAAATTTCCGATCCAAACACTTGCCGACCAGCAATTTTGCGCGTGTAATAATTTTTGAATTTGTGTCATAGTGACTAAGCAACGTCTTAACTACAGGTGGCTTCTAAGATTTCTCAACCGACCAAATGCAGTTTGAATTGAGACCAGTGATTTTTTGATACTGATTAACTGCTGCTAGCCATCAGGATAAAATTAGAATCGATACGAGAAAGCACTAATTTTCATTGCAGACTTTAGGGAATTCAACAGTCGCCATTCTCGAAAGTCCGGACCCCTCGCCATCCAAAATTCCAAAGTGTCCTCAGTTTGGTACTTTTTATTGGCAATCTTGGTCAAACAAACCTGAATTTTTTACAAAAGCGAAATCGGCCCATTTTAACACGGCCCATTTTAATTTTCCCCATAAACAATCGTCTTGCAATAATCCCCACAAACAATCGTGTTGCAATAATTTGCCTGTGGTGCTAAGATTTCTCATTTAAATGCATTACTTTAGGCTTTTCATTGAGTCTTTTTTGACGTTTCCAAAAAAAAAATTAATTTTTATATAAAAAAAACCAATGAATAGTTTAAAAACTCAACACACCCCTCCACAGAACCCTAACCGCATAATAAAATATCCGCATAATGATTTGTATACAAAAGTGTAATCATTTTACTCGTTTACCTATTGTAGTTAGCTGTTTTCGCGGTTGTTGCCATTGATTTTGGTAATCTATTTGTAAGAAATATAAGTTTCGGTTTGAGTGATTTTAAAAAAAAACGTTTCACCTTGAGATGATGTTTTTGCTTTGTTTATTTTTTATTGCATGAAAGTGTTCAACCATCAACGGGTTTTAAGTTGTTCCCAACATTCTGTCCTAAATTACTCTTTCAATTCATTCAAATATTTGAATTTTGACCGCGTGCATAACTTTCGGACATTCGGTGCTTCGGCATTGAAACACTTTACAGGTTCGATATTTTTATAAACTCTCGCCGGAAAGATGTTGCAGATCAATTTCCCGCCTCAATTTAGCGTTTAAATAATTTTAGCCACGCGATAATTGATCGAACAAACATTAGACAGACGACCGTTGCGCCGAGTAAAAATGATGAAGTGAGAAGCTGAGCAAAAAAAAATTTGAAACTCGCAATTAATAAGTCACCTTCAGCGTGAAAGTATAATTTTCTGATCAAAAAAATACCGCAATATCAATCTATTATGCCGATTTAACATATGCCGAAATTGAAAAACGAAATTTTACAAAACTGAGTAGAAAAATGCTACAAACAAGACTTGAAAAAAAATAATAAGTTTAAAATGGAAGGGGAAACAAAATTTCAAATATTATCAAAATATCACTGGCCTAAATATTATCACTAGCCTTCCAACTGACTCCAGGAAGTGAGATTTAGTCGAGGCCTGCAGGGTTTGATCTGTGAACAAAGCAGGGAGAAAAAAATCTAGTACCCGCCTGCAGTACATTTGCTCGCTCTAGTGCAGACAAGTAACAAAAGAAATAGAAATGAGATCATGCATCCAAATTTGAAGATTTTAATTAATCGATTTTTATTTATATTTGAAACAAAAAAAGACATATGTGGAGAATGCGTTAAAATAAACGCAACATTCCAATGTTATATTTATTGCAAAGACAATGAATAATTTTCATCCCTCAAGCTTGCTAAAAACGAAAAAAATATATATGCCAGGAGGCGCAAAAATGGTAAATTTAATTGCAAATGTGAAGAATACGATGAAAAATGTGCAATTAGCACCGAAAATTTCGTGTTATTTTTTGTACTTGTTTTGATGGCACAAATTCTTAGAGAGTAAATTAAACTAGGCATAACTAAGTAAATTTTTCTTCGAGAAACGGATGACAAAGTTGAAGAAAATCGTTTATTCAAGTTTTTCAAATTTTCTTTGCACATCTATTTTTTTAAAAAAATTTTAAAACCTTTTACTACCAAAGGAGGGCTATACGGAGCATCAGACTTGTTAACGGGCCGCCATAATTGAGGCCCGGCCCGGCCCGAAATAATTCAAGTCGAGCCCGTTCGCGGCCCGATAAACAGGGAATTTATTAAATATCGGCCCGTTGGTGCTTTTTTGCGGCCCGTATGCTGCTTTTTTGGTAAAAAACAAATTTGTTTCAAAAGAATTTTAATTAATTGTTTTACTTATTTATAAAGACCTTTTTTAAAAGCCATGGAAACCATTTCAATTGCCTCAACGGTTGTAGGCGAAAGTTTTGCCCGTCTTTCGGATACCGTCAGAACGCAATCAGAGTTAATTGGTTAGTCAATAAAAGTAAGGCCCGTTGGGGCCCGTTGACAAAAGTGAAAACCTCGGCCCGGCCCGGCCCGTTGACAAGTATGCGAAGCATAGATCAAAATCAGTGTTCTGGGAGTAGAACTAATTTTTTCAAATCTTTACACTTTTTTAAACACCTGCTTTGCTTTACTCGCTTGGAAATGTACTAAAAACGCAATAAGTGGTTTTTCTAGAAAGAAAAATTTGTGGACATTTTTAATGCAGTTTGAGTCAGGACCTTTTTATGACATTTATAAATAATTTTGTTCAAGTTGCAATTTAATTATTCTCAAATAGTTGTGGCAACGACACTTCGATGGATTATAACCTTTGGGCTATGCCAATATCAGATATTAAGTTTAATAATTTGAGTCGCATATGGAATTATTGAGACCAATTAGGTGGCCTAAATTCAATGTTGAACTGATTTTAAAGGAGTGTTAACTCACCTTTAAGCTTTCAGAATCAAAGATGACTCGTCAAGACTCGCTTTAAAATCCCAAAATTATGGCAGCATTGGCCATTAGATGACCCCGAATTTGTTCGAAAGTAAAATATACTTATTCTATAAAGTTTTAACCGGGGGATTCTGTCGAAAACCATTTTTAGATTACCGCAACTGTTTGAATTCAAAAAGACATCACAAACAGCTATCATTCGTTAGCGCAAGAACGATATTTCTTTAAAGCGGCACAACCTTTTTCTAGGAGTGAAACTTCGAAGAAACGCGAAAAAATAAATACAACTGATGTTCAATCGACTATCCTTGTTTCCTCAACAAGCTGTTTAGAAAATTAAAAAACAAAAATAACAAAAATCAAAAAAGTAAAGAAAAGTTCCTCTTTTTCAAATTGTGTTTTTTTTTGGTCATGGAAAATGAGAGGTTCTAGACAACAATCTAAAATTTAGGCATAATCGACATTTAAGGTACAAAAAGTCAATTTCGACAAGTTTTCTTCAAAAAATTGAAAAAATTCAAATTTTTTTAAATTTGTTAAATAATTTTCTAATCCAAAAATTTCCGAAAACTCATTTTACCGGAGTGTAACTACGTTTCACGGCAAGTGGAAAAAAACTTTATCGCCAAGAAAGGAGTGATTAAAATAAAGTAAACTTTGTTCAGAATGGAGTTTTTACGGCCGACTTCATAGTTTTTTTATGGTCTCTTCGCTCAAAAGTAGACAAAAAAGTTGATAATTTTTTTCGACTCTGAGAAAAAGCTTGAACACTTTTTCAATATCGTTCGAATCACAGCCACAAGGATTTTAATATGTTTAATAGGATATATTACACGACTTTATTTAATGACTATTTGTGGTTCCAAATTTTGCGAGAAAACCAAGAATAGCCGGTTGCAGTGCAAGTAGCAGAGAAAGATCCGACCACGATAATTTAGAAAAAATCAACAATTTTTTCAATATGTGACGTATAATTTGTGGTAGAGGTAATTCGTAAATAGTCCGAACGAAAACCTATATTACGTTAAGTGGATAGCAAAAGTAAATTAGGGATATGTGAAAAAAATTCCTCGATGGATAGAAAGTTTTAGAAATCAAAAACCTTTTTAAAATATTTGCACAAACTTTCTGGATGTTTTTAAAACAAAAACGCTGAAAAAGGCTCTAAAGAAATTTCAAAAACTAATTTTATCGAGTAAAACTAAAATTTTACGTCTGTCTTAACTTGAATTATAAGAGTTCGACTATTATAAGCAATTTAAGACCTGGCTCAAAATTACACTGAAACTCAAAATTATCCGATTGTCGTTCGAATCGCTACTGGAAAATTAATGATAGGATACTTCACTTGACTGATTGCGATGATTATATGTGGTACATGATTTTCCATGGAAAACAAAAACTAAAGCACACCCGAAGACAAGTTTTGCTCCGAAGACAAAAATTTGCGTGCGGCCCAATAAATTTGGTCAAAATAATATAGTAATTTATAATATTGGACTATAGTGTAGTTTTCGTGACCCTCACACTTTTAATTTTCGATAGTGGAGTTTGCCTTCCTTTCAACAAAAGAAATGAAGTGTTATTAGAGATAAACCAAAAGTCAACCGCGAAAAATAAAAATTGAGAAAGAACGAATTTTAATACTTTTCCTGAAAAAAAAATCATCACGACCTATATAAGAGTCTTGAAGTCTTCTCTACGTTCAATGGCTCTAAAATTATTCTGCTTTACTGAAGTCATTCCATAAAACTGAACGTTAGATTTAATTACTAAAATTAATTGCTTAAATTTCAAAATATAAATTTTCGAGAGAATAAAATCAAATGTCAAATGCATTTACCCTGTACATATCTTTGAAATAGTTGGTTCGCTCAGAATAAGCATAATTTTTTCTGAATGAGTTTTTTCAACCAGTCAGTTTTCCAATCCTTTAGCCTTTCCTGGTTTGACGCCACAACTAATTCGTCAAACTTGGCACTATTTCGAGGCAATGTATTTCTGTTCAGTCTACAACCGCATGATCTTTCGTATCTTCACTTGTTTATCTTAGGAGACATGTTTTCCTTTTCCTGCACTGTTGACATGACCCTCTGCAGGTCAAATATCTCCTGTTTGATCTTTAGTCTATAAATCTGGTGCATCAATTGACTCCGCTCCGATTCCTGCAACCAACGGCCACAATTAATCATATACAGTTGTTCGATAAAATCAATGATGTAAATGGTTTAAGCTCCTATCATGATGCGCATTTTAATAATATCTACATGACGGCAAACGAAACTCCCCGTGGTTGATACTTGATGCTATCGGGTGACTTTTTGCAGCACAAAAAACGGATCTCTTTAACGCAAGTAAACAGAAATAAAAACAAATAAAAACAGGCTCTTTGAATTTTCAGAACAATTTATGATTGACACTTTTTTGATAAAACTAACCAAACTCGAGAAAACTGGATCAATAGGTTAAAAGTATGTTTCGCTGGGAAATCTGATAATTAAATTCCATTTTCGAAATTAGAAGTCCTGGCCTTTACACTTTCGCTGTTAGATAGTGGAGTTTGCCTTCCTTTTAACAAAAATGAACTGAACTTATAAAAAGATATCAAAAGTCAAACCGCGAAAAAGAAATTATCACGACCTATATCATGTTCAAATTCGCTTTAAGGGTCACACTGTGGACAATTAAAAAAGTAGCACAGAATGTTCCGACCATAGTCTCAAAAATACGAAAAAAGTTTTTTTTTCAAATTAGTGTCGTTTCTTTCTGCGTGGTGTGAAAAAAGGATCGGAACAAAAATTAGAACTTACAGTCATAGTAAAACAGTCATAATAAAACAGGCAAACTGAAAAATCAGTTTCTGTAGAAAAATAACTAGAAAAACAAAAAAAAATGGTTGAATAGGGCGCTTAATACTCCATAAACTAACTTTACTTGAATAAAACTCAATTTTCAAGGCTTAAACTAAGCATAAATAAGCTAATGTAAGACAGCTCACTCGCTCGGAATTAGACGAAAAAATCTAAAATGTGGTTCGAATCACGACTAAAAGGGTGAAGGGCTTTAACTTCGTATATCAGTCTAACCATTCCAATGATTATTTGTGCTACCTAATTTTGCGTAGAAAACAAAAGTAAAAATAGAACACACCCGAATACAAAGTGCCTTCACATTTTTCAATTGGTCGGAACAACAAATAGGGCCCTGCATTTCTTTGAATATCACAAATATTTTATGAGTAAAACTTTTTTTTGATATATTGACCTTATTAGAGAAAACTGGATCAATAAGTGTTTTTTATTGCTGTGGAAACCTTAAAATATAAATCCAATTTCGAGAAAAAATTGAGACATTTTTCCACGCCATTTGCACATTGATAAATGGAGAGCGAAATTAGCCTTCGATTTATCAAAACATAGCCAACTGACAGCTGGAAAAGAGTAATGAACGCAAGGAAACTGAAACAAAACTGACTTGTTTTTTCAAAAACCTTAAACTAAAATAGATGGCCTTAAAGCTCTTTGACTTTGTGGAACGATTAACGATGGACACTTTTTTGTTGAAAATAACCCAATTTGAGAAAACTGGATCAATAGGCAAAACTTTTATTTCGCTGGAAAACCTGATAATTAATTTCCATTTTCGAAATAAGAAGTCGATCACGTTTTTCAAGACCTTTACACTTTGCTGTTCGATAGTGGATTTAGACTTTCTTTTAACAAAGGGAAAGAACTGAACTTAAAAAGAAACCACAATTCAAACTGCGAAAAATCAAAATTGAGCGTGAGACCTATATAAGAGTACTCACTATGCTCATTACTCTTAATAAATTTGGATGAAACTTAGAAAGAATAAAAAAAAAATGCGTTCATTAACACTTGACACGAGTACTGAAAAATGCTACTGACCAAGTCCACGCCCAGCTCCTTGAGTGTCTTGTCGTTGAGTCTGGTGAGAGCGGCCCCGTTGACGTCATGGGCGAGGAAGACCTCCGCGTACTTGTCCGCCAGCCGTGACTCATACCTCTTCAGCCACTTCACTACCTGAAGGGAGAGAACGAGGAAACAATTATTTCAAAAATTAACATGGCCTCGCATTAGTTTTTTCCCCCCAAGATAGACAGATTTATAAATGGTCATCACATAAAACATGGCATGACAAGGAAAACAAAAAAAAAACAAAATAATTCTGTAAATAAGAACAAGTAAAAACGCATAATAAGATCCCCTATAAAAGACTCTTAGAGGCGGCTAGGATCCCAACACAGCCAATGGGCGATTCTTCAGTTCTTCAAATGGTAGAATGTCATGTAACAAATAAATCCCCTTGATTGACCACTTCCAATTTGAGGACTGAAGGTTAGGCAAAAAGACGTCAAAGGAGTCCATTTAGCTTACCTCCTCAGAGCTCCACAGGGCCGCTGCTCTCATCCGAGCCAACTGGGCAGAAGAGGAGGCAGTTGAACTGGGCTCCACAGCGGAAGAAACGACACTTGATTCAGTCACCATTGGGCAGAGAGAAACAGTAACTTTATATCTGAAAAAAATATAGCCAGCTACAATGCAGTATCGAGCATCATTATCGTAACTATGAAAAACTCATATCAAACTATAAGTTAAACAGCTCACTTGCCCATCCCAAAGTTGTATTTTTGGTCTTTCAAGCCACATTGATAGAAAAATTGTCCAAAAACTCTGTTAAGAGAGAGTCACTTGAACGGTTCCATGCAAAGAATATATAGCGGTTATAAATCAGCCAAAACATTAGAATTTTTATGCAAGGGTATTTTTTGCATGTACGGTTGCAAAAAAGCAGACCTCCCGAGCCAAATTAAAACATACTTTGAAAAAACAATCATTTCAAAGAGAAATTTGCATCAATTTTCGGGAAAAAGTATATCCAAATCATTTGGGTAACTCATTCACGAAGAATCAGATTAATTCATTGTTTTTAACAATAACCTTATGGAAGCCAGCAGCTAATTGAAATAAATTTTACACTGCCAATTTGAAGTTTTGGAGTTTGATTTTGTTGTAGTTTAAAGCGCAGAAATTCACTTCAAGTAGAATTTCTATTCATTTAAGTTGGAGAACCGATATTCATTTTTCTTTGTCTATTTTGTCTTCATTCTCAATTTCTTGCACTTCAACTTCCTCGGTTTCAGGTTTCTGATGAATTTCATTCTCAGTTTCAGATTTCAGGTTATTTTCAATTTCAGACTCAGGTTTATTTAAGAGACAAGACTCCGTTTGGTCACTTTCAACTATAGGCAACCACAGCATAAACCAGTGTAGAAGCCATAGCGGTATAAACAAAGCCCACATTTGCCACAGCATGGCCGAGTTATGGACATAACTTTCATGTACCACCTTAGAAATGAGTCCTTTCACTTGCGAGTACCATACGTCCAAGTTTATCTCTTCACCAGGAAAACTGTAGCTAAATGAAACAACAGGCATCACTAAAACAATGGTAAGAGGCGATATGATTAAGCATATTAATTTTTGAATGCTTCGCATAAATTTGCATTTAGATGGAGCTGTCAAATTCATCAAAGGCACCGCTATAATTGCTATGAAATAAGTCAACGAAAAGTTGGCCACGCAATTACACCCTATTCCGATGATGCTCAAAAACATTGCAATTGATTTGTACACTTGACGTTGACTCATTGTTAATTTTTCTTGGCAATAAAGTGAAGGCATGTATAATGGTATAGTAACTATGGCTAAAAATGCCATCAGAAAAGTCAGCATCAAAATATCTGCGTTGTCGATACTTTCATCTAAGAGGTACTGCAGTTGGAACTCATTGAAATAAGGAACCGCGAAGTAAACAGCGCTTGGTAACAGAAACGCAGAAATCAGAATTCTGAAAACCGAAGTCACGTCCGGAATAATTCTCAAACTTGGAATATCCGGCTGCTCAAACACATGCAAAACTTCTAGCGATTTGTGCCACAGAGAAATTGCTACTATTGCACTAGAAAGCAGACAAATCACCAATGCTGGAATGTAAAGCCCAATTGATATGTAATTATTAGTACTTGGCATTATGTAATAAAAAAACGACTGGTGAAACCTTTCCAGCAGATTGTTAATTGACCTCACGGTTCCTTCGATAGTCCTCGCGATGTTGGCATAGCCCATGTTTGGGATTCTATTACGTCCAGAAGCCGCGAGAACAAAATCACTCTGGCACTTGATTGACAGAGCATCTATGTGATATGGCAAAAAGAGGGAGTGTCCTGAAACTGGGCGCCCAGAAGCTTGTTGCCACATGCCTAAGAGCGACGTTTTAACCATTCCTAGACAGTTCTGGAACAAATCCCTAGTGGGAGGATCTCTTCTTCCGTGAAGATACACGCTACCATCATTTGACCTTGTCAACTTATCCATAACGTTGAACAAGTCGAGATTGGGTAGTTGTCCATTCATTCCTTCGAGTATAAAGTTAAGCCCGTCGCAAGATGATTGGCTGATTTCAATACTCAGAGCCGCTTGAATACTACCTCCTCTAGTTTCAAGCCTTGAGCCCTTAATGGCACCCGACTCCGGGTGCCCGTGATACGCCTGCAGCCAGGCTTGCAGTCCATTTAGCTTCGAATCCGAAAACACGAAAATCAAATCTTTGCCCCAATAAATTTGGTTTCTAAAATGCTGAGCTAACGCCAACATTAGAGGAATACTTTTGTAGACAGTATTTATGTCATAAGGAATAGCGAATACTATACTTTCTGTGCTACTGTGTCTAGGAGCTCGCATGATCCCATAAACATTTCGACCTGTTTTCGGCTGCTTCATAAATGGGTGGAAAACAGTGAAATTTTGCACATAAGCTTCAATATCCGTTTCAACTAATTTATCAACAATCCAATCGTGAGGCATTTGTCGTTTAGCCGAGGCAAGTTCGCGCATTTCCCTTTCCAGTTTAGCAGCCGTATGTTCGCTATTGAACGTCAGTTCAACTTGATTAGCTAGCAGCGCATTTTCCGAAAAGTAAGTTCTCTCGCGCAACATCGGATGAAAAAGGGCGAGGAAGGCGACAAAGTTTAGAATGTAGAGAAGAACTGCGACCAAGTTGCCATACTTAGTAGCCAGCTCAACCAGCGAGCTTCTCCTATCCGGGTCAGACAAAATTCCCATCTTCAAAGACTCATTTCAAACAGGTCTGAAAGGAAACTATAACTAAACCCGACTTCATAGCTTCAATTCTAACTAGAGGGGATAACTCAAGCAACTATTCTTTTGCGGTTCAGTATATGATCGGGACGTCTACTTTATGCATAGAGCACTCATGAAGCAAAAAGCCTATTTGAGCTTCGATTATCTTTCTGATAAATTTAATAACTCACCTTCACATCAACCGCTAAAATACTGATGAGCCAAAATTACCATTTCCTCGATTAGAATCAAGTCTTATTATAACTTATACACACTCAACCAATTATCGAGCATATACTTGTTATCGGATAAAAAAATGAAACTAACAACTATCAATTAGAAACTAACCCAACTTACAAATTCAACATAATTACAAAACAAATTATTCAACGGCCACCATTTTCAATAAATGTCAAGAAACAAAACGCGCATAACAATTCTTAAAACATTTTAAACCAGTGAAACGATATATTTGTGTAGAAGCCAGGAAAATACACGACGTCGCAAAAAATAGGTAAGAAATCTCTCATGTTATAGATTTTTTACATGTTTTCTTTCAAAGTGTAGATCTTTTTTAAGTAATAACAACTTAAATCGTGATATGGCCTATTTTTCGAGACATTAAGCAATAATCGTATGTTTTCTCAGGCAACCCTCAATTAATACGGATTGTCGGTTGATCTTCCAGCCTTAAAAGGCGTAGATGTGACAGCATTCTCATTATTAATTGGCTGACTAAGCACATTCTGGCTCAAGATATTTTGGCTTAGGATATTTTGACTTTGGCTATTCGAGCCCTCTCGACTTGCTTCCTCAATCGGCGTCAACAGCTTCATGTTCGTAATTGCAGCTTCCTTTTCAACTACTGGCGACGCACAAGTTAGCGACTCGCGTTGTCGGTACGATATGGAAATTTCGCCCGAGCTTGTTCGGCTGAAAACACTCGATGGTCGGCGATATAGACCACTGGTTGAGCCGCTAACTGAAGAAGCGCCAAAGAATGAACTTTCAAAGCCAACGCCGGTCAAGTTAGACGCTAGAGAGTAATCGAATGTCGACGTTAAATTAAGTCTCTTGTATTGACGTATCGGTACATATTGACTTTGTTTAATCTCTGTTTCTACTGATTTTGTTTCTTCTCTGTCCAAAATTCTACCCAGATCATTTTTGTAGTCTTTAATCATATCGCCCAAGCAAGTCAAAACATCCACAAGAAGTTTTTCTTTTTGCTCTTGCTTCAGTTTTTCACGCAAACTCAGCATCACTGGTAAAAACTGCTCCACTGTTACATCTCGCACCATCTCTGTGAATTTAGCTGAACTCGTGGTCGATGAAGTTTCAGTAACAGATTGCCCGGAATTACTTTTAGGTTCAACTGAGTTGTTATCAGGGTCGGTGTTCTCCCGTGAACCTGATGCTGTTTTCATCGCCTGATAAAAAAAAATCATTTTTTTTCAGACTGCATAGAATAATATAACAATGATTAGTGAAAGAGCAAAAATAGCCAGACAAACAGAAAATTTGAATGAACTTTCGAGTATCACCCAAAAATACAACCATGCAGCTCTGTGATTTTCACTAATCTTCCTTAAAATTTACAGGGGAGGATTCGGTGCAACGTACCATAGTTAACAAGAAATAGTTAACAAGATCCAGCTTAAATTTAAGAAACTGGATCAAGAAGTATATTTTAATTCCACTCCGAAAAAAAAGAGAAAAATCTACTTTTGAAACTGATTCTCTGTCTTCCCCGCCATTTCCAATTTCAAAACATAGCCAACTGACAGTTAGAAAAGATAAAGAACGCAAGGAAACTGAAAAAAACTGACTTGTTTTTTGAAAAACCTTCTACTTATGAACTTCGAAGAAAAAAATAGATGGCCTTAAAGCTCTTTGAATTTGTAGAACAATTTATGATTGACACTTTTTTAATGAAACTAAGACAGATCACTAACTAAAACTTTTATTTTACTGGAAAAATCTGATAATTGATTTGCATATTCAAAATCAGAAGTCACTCACTTTCTTTCGTGATCTTCATACTTTCGCTGTTCGATAGTGGAGTTTGCCTTAATTTCAACAAAGGAAAAGAAGTGAACTGAAAAATAAATCATAAGTCAAACCGCGAAAAAAGAAAATAGAGCGTAAACAATTTTCAAGACTTTCTTCCTGAAAAAAAACACCGAGACTTATATAAAAGACAACAAGACTGCTCGTATCAGGGCGAAGCCCTGAATGTTCCGACTGCCTTTTAATGTTTAATAAAATGTAATAAAAATGAAAAAAAAATCTAAAATTTGAAATTTTTTTATGAAAATCATCCCCCCACACGCCATATAAAGTACAAAAGGATAGATTTCGCTCCTTGTAACAAATCAATTATGGCAAATAAGCTTCTTCCAACTAAATTGGAACGATTTCTAAGACGGATTAAATCTCCGCTTACGCGTTAATAGCGCGAATTATATCGCGCGTTAATTGTCCTAAATTGGTCAAAATGGCCAAAATGGCAATCTTTAAACCCTCATAACTTCACGAAAAATGATCACAGGTGAATTATATTCAAATATAAGCTCAGGACAACAATAGCTTTCGAATGATATAAAAAAAATTCCGTCAAAAATGGCTAGTTAAAAAGTCGAAATTTGTCTGAAGAAAAAAAAACCCACCCCGAGCACAAACATTCCGTTACTTTCGTATCGAAAGTCGGAACAAAAATCACCTAGACGAAAATAGGAAAGAAGCGTGAAAACCTCAAAGAAAGTAAACATTTCCAGGGATTTAAATAAAAATTGGCCGAATATAAAAATGGCAGAAATATTCAATACTTTCAAATTGTGACTGACCGCCGACGACTTGGAACAAAGTTTATGTTTCAAGGCTTTCGTTATAAAAAAGCAAAATACTGATTCATTTAATTCCTTTTAAATGCACGGCAATTGATTCATTTTGATGTTCGAATGTTTTTCCTTTTTGGTCCTTAGCGCATGAGTCCTTCGCCCATTCGGCCCATCACCCATGATAATAGCCCCATTAATTACCATTTATTCAGCAAATGAGAGCGCGCCTATCTTAACCAGATACGACAATTCATTACAAGCAACAACTAGCAGCATGCTTAAGTGTTCATTAGGGGACTAAAAACAATGCAAATTCAGGATTAAAAGTCGACGCGCGGATAGAAACTAAACCTAACAACATAATTGAATTAAAAACCGGATTTAAAACAAAACTAACACGTACAATGAGGACCATTGAAAATTAGTATCACCTAGAATATCAGCGTTTTACTTCACTCTTTTCATTCAATCTCATCCCACGACTCATGCACTAGCTGGTTTCTCTATGCCATTCAATTTCGCCATTACCGAACTCGGTAAAAACCAAACTGTCCACGAAATATGTAATCTGAACCACAAATAAGTAAAAACTACCCGAGACCATGGTCATGAAAATATTTCTTGAAAGTTTTTTTTTTAAATTATATTAATGTTCCCAAACCAAGCTAATTTTAAATATTTTAAACGCATTACTGCAAAAGGCGTGACTTTTTTGCAGGGAAAACTTAAGACTCACGAGGAAACACAAACATACACCCTTTTTTAGTACAATTTCTGCTAGGAGAGCATTCTTCTATGGGGTGCTGAGAACCACAACAAAAACGCATGAACCAGTTAGTAAGAACTATTTTTTTAAACGCACGGGGCGAAATTCGAGAAGTTATGAATCCCCAAGCAATTTTTACTGAAAACGCAGAAGATGTTTAAATTAAGATGATTGAGGTTTTGCGACAGTTGAAATTTTGAGCCACAACTATTCAACTAAAACGAGCAGCCAAAGTATTCAAATCTCCGACACAGTCAAAAACATTTCGAATTCTCTGAGGCCCTGATAGGTATAGTTTTTGGCTTTTCGATACCGGCCCAACAAGAAACAAGTAATGAACGCAAGTAAACATTAAAAAAACTGATTCTGTTGAAAAAATCTCAACTTTCGAATTTCAAAGAAAAAAATATATGCCCTTTTTTAAGCTCTTTGGATTTCTAGAACGAATTCTGATTGGCGCTTTTTTGATAACATTAACACAATTTGATAAACCTGGATCAATATGTAAAGTTTTTATTTCGCTGGAAATCTAAAAATTGAATTCCCCTTTCGAAACTAGAAATCGTTCACGATTTTTTGCGCCATTTCCACGTTCGTATTTAGAGAGTGCTATTTACGTCACTTTTAGCAGATGAATTTCAATTGAACTCGAAAAGTGCATATATAATTAAGTGCATTTATAAATGCCTCAATAAGTATGAATGTACATCTGTAGTTATTAGAGACTTTTAAGACTTTCTCCAGGAAAAAAATCACCAAGATCTATATAAGAGTCTTCATTACTCTTTAAAACAAACTTTTCAAGATTTTTTCTTTGAAAAAGGCTATTTTCGAACTTCCCCTAATTACTACCTAAATGATAGCAGTCTGCATGTCAGCAGTCGGGAAATTAGACATTCCAGTTAAAATTGACCATTCCGTGAACAAAAGCTGCAACATAGCTCTTTCTTTTGTTTTTGCATTAAACAGGTAATAATTTTACAAAAAACTAGGTGCTCAAGAATTGTTAACTCTATAACCGCAAGCGTAAATATTCAACACAGAAGTGAAGCTGCGCTTCGCAAACACAAGTGAAAACACGAGAAAAATCAGCTTTATAAAGTGAAATAAGAAAAAATAGAAATAAGCCTCGAATTAGTAAAATTTTGCTACGTATGGGCTTCGAACCTGCTACCTCGGGAATTGGAATCTCACGCCCTGTACTCTCAGTCACGAATGCTTTTAGGACTTTTCCTGAAAAAAATCAGCAAGACCTATATAAGAGTCTTCACTACGTTCATTACTCTCAATCAAATTCAACTAACGAAAATTTACTGAAATTGGAGTCAAAAACTGTGTGGCATGCAGATCATTTATTCAAAGCCTGGCATGCTTTATTTTTTCAATATGCACAGTCCCTGCTACTGTTAATGAATAAACAGGTCCCCTAGCCTACTTCTGACAGCAAAGCAAAAGTGGACATCAATATATCCAAATATCCGGGCCTTCAGACAGTTTAAAGAAGCAGTCCAAGACTTGTACCTTCACCAATTTGGAGGGCCAAAGAAAATTATCCAGAAAATTTTCAATAGTGGAGTTGTAAAACGCTGCTTTGATCACTTTGCTTCAGTTACTTGCCGCAAAATTCAAGAATTTGGATTGTTGACAATGAATCGACAATTAAAAACGGCACGCATGATCCTCAAATCATTTGTCGCTCTGGCCTTTATACCGGAGCTTGATTTCAAAATTTATATCGCTACTTCCTTCAAAAAAAATTAGAAAAGAAGGAGACGTAGCCCTTTTAAATGGATTATGTGGATTAATTTCGAGACAACCCGTGTGGAAGCAAATTTCAAAGGTGGCAGCTACAAGTATTTCAGTCGAATGCCGAGACAGTGTTTTCCGGTTTGAAAAAAAGGCACCCATCTCACCATTTACAAATATAAACATGAACAGAAAATACGAAAAATGTCGTTTCAATGAATTCAATAGAACTGAACAAATGACTTCTGAATTTGCGTGAAAAAAAACATCAGGTTAAAGCTCTTTCAAGATAAAGTATCTGAAAACATTAAGATTGAACTTCAAGACTGACACAGAAATTTATTATTGACACTTTTTTGCGAAAATTAAGTCTATTGGAGAAACGTCGATGAATAAATAAAATTTTTATTCCGCTGGGAAACCTATAAAACTGAAGTTCGAAACTAGAAGTTGTTCAAGTTTTTGCGCGCCATACGATTCCCAAGTTTAGCTAACTTTCAGCAGATGGAATTAAATTGAAATCAAGAAGTGCATATACACCTAAGTGCAGGGGCGGATCTAGGATTTTCTCGAGGGGGGGGGCGGATTTTCACGAAAATTATGTCGACTTTTTTATTAGGTCGATCAAATTGATTTTTCGAGCTAACCCAAAGCACAATAAAGACCCCATTTTGACCAAATTTTCTGCGCCGCAGGCAAACTTTGAAAAAGCAGGCCAAAAAAGCGTTTTTAGGCATTTTTAGAAAATTTTGACCAAAAAATTGCGTTTTTGGCGCGCGCTCCCCTTCAAAATTAGTACAAATTGGCGCCAAAAGCGCCTTTAGAAAAATTTTAGGGTCTGTCCGCCAAAAATGGATATCTCAAAAAAGCACAAAGGGTCGAATCCCTGGAGGGGGGGGGGGGGGGCTAAGTGCATGCACAAATGCATCAATATGTGTGAATGCACGTTTGTAGTTATTAGAGCATTTTCAGACTTTTTCCTGAAAAAAAATACGAAAAAAAGAACAATAAAGAGTCTTCACTACATTCATCGACTCTTTAAAAAGGGTTCAACAGACTATATTTGTTTCACTGGAGCGAATCGTTGTGTTACTGAATGCTATGAATTATCCCCATGATCTATCATAATTGTTAAAAATTTTATGAATTTGACCTTTTTTTTACAAGTATACAAAACTTTTGGATTTAGGAGCTTGAAACTCTTTTATTTCCTGTCTGAAAAAGTTTGATCAGTAAATTTTTCCAGGATCATCGTAAAATTTAAATAAACATACCTTCAACGTGAATAGCTTCAGAACATCCGATAGAATATTCTCGAAAGTTGGCTCAACCGGCCCAGAACTCTTCACGTAACATCCGACCACTTCTGTCATCAGCCGCACTTTTAGCTGAAACTTCTGCTGTTCGCTGAGGTGCTGTGCTAGGAATTGGTAGACGAGGAGCCGCTTGTTCTGATGAGCTGACACCGCTACAGGAATTTCCATTTCCGGTTGGATCTCCTCATTTCCTTCTGGAGTTTCACCGAGCCCCGAGCGAACCAGTCCTAAAATCGAATTTTTATTTACCTAATTTGGGATGAGTAAACACAAGATTTAGATTAGAGCAACAGGGATCCTAAGTTTTGGAAACCATTTAAAGCGCAACACGCATACATAAGACAAAATTAGTCAAAACATAAATTTTCCGCAAATAGCGGTCATGAATTCGGCAAACAGCTCACATGCACTTCGCAAATGGCTAGCGTAAAGTTCTTTCGAAAGAAGCATTGCACCACGAAAGCAATCATCATTTATTCGATCAAAATAACCATTAGATCTCACACAAGTTTCAACACATCGATTATTTAAACAACTAGCTACAGCTAATAAATCTATCTACCCAATCCAAAAAAGCAATTGCAATTGAATTATTGTTTAATACTTGTCACACCGAGGCGAGGCAGAGGTTCGCGCCACTTGCAATGCCATTCAAAATCAGAAAATGTGGCGGAAAAACTCCATACGTTTGTCTCGAATATATTCAAACTCGAACATATTCCGACAAACAAGCGAAATTGTTTAACAACCTATCAAAAACACGTTAATCACGTTCACAAATCACGTTAACAATAACGTTGACATTGATGGCCAACATACGTTATTACATTAACATAAGTATATCTAAAAATAACACAAGTCTACCCTACATGGCTCATTAAACTTCTAAGAAAAAAAACTATTTTATAAAAATTCTGCTCTTGGCCAGCATCGAATCCATAACCTTTGTCGTCTCCATCTCAGACGTTATCTCTGAACTAAGTGACCCAAATTGGGACCTCGAACGAAGTATACTGAGCAAATACTATCAAAAAACTGAGCTATATTCCCATTTATAAATGCTTGCTAATTGCAAGCGAAGAAAATACGGCCCGTCGAATAACAAAAATAATGAAAAAAAAAATTTAAAAAGCCAACGAATCTAAATTTGAGAATCTTGCAAGTTTAATTTTTCCAACATTATATGGATGGATTAAGATGGTTAATTAGATTTTTCATAAATTTCTCAATAGAACTCAATCATTCTAAAAAATACAAATAAAAATAAATACGACCTATATGACCTCTACGTTCATTAGCACCTCATAAAAAAACTTTTGCGTTATTTGTTTTTTAGTTTTTTTCGGCTGTTTTAAGAAAAACCAAGGGACTCAAAATACACTTCAGGCCTCAGAGGTGAAGCTACACTTCGCGGGAAACAAGCAATAAACAGCAAAAACAGCTCCAAAAGGTCAGAAAAAAAAATGAGATCTTACAGAAATACCCACAAAACAAACAACATAAAAAACACTGATAGAATGTTACTGGGCAAATATCACAGATTAATCCGACCACAGTTAACTTTTTCTATTTTTCGCATGTTTTGGACTGCAAAGTACGACTAATAAGGCTTTAATAAAAATCCACTCTTTATCCTTCCGAGCTTTTTAGGTGGTACCTAATATGGCTCGCAACCAAAAAATGGTTTGTTACCAAAAAGCAAGCCTTATATATTTTGACTATAGCTCGAAACGAGAACTATTCACTAATTCTTGTTACTACTACCCGAATTAGTAATAACTTGATCTACGAGTCGGATTCGAACCAGCGACCTCGAGTCTCACGTCCTTCTCTCTCAGCCACGAACGCTTAACGATCGTCAAACACTAGCCACAAATAAAGCAGAGAACAGATGCTAAGAAATTTCCAATGCTACATATTTTGATTATAGCAAAAGTACCACCAAATGAGCACTGTTTTTGCAAGTTAGGTTGCGAAACAGGTAGAGTCACACTAATACACAAATCGCTACCTCGTTAGTGCAATGGAGACCAATTAGCTTGCCTCGAATCATTTTTGAACGACTATTTGGAACGAACTTCGAATATTGACTTAGTTTGCGGATTGAATCGCACAAGCTAGTCCAATAAACCGAGAAACTGACAATTTTAAATCTCCAAAGCTTTGCGAAAAAAGATTATAGACTAAATTCCAGGTTAACTTTCAGCTCAGAACGTCGATACCTTCGAAGAGGTATAAGAATTGTCGGATCTACTTAACAACCTCCACCCCTTTCAAGAAAGGGTGGGGGGGGGGGGATTGTTAAGCAGATCAAAATGGTCGATTTTTCGACCAATCAGAATGCAGCAAAATTATGAGATTCTCAATAGAAAGCTCAGTGCTAATTTACTGTATTTATCAAGTAGGTACCATGGGGGGGGGGGGGGGAATATTAAGTAGATCCGAATTTTCCCTCAAAAACTTTTGACATACACAAAACTGCTAACAAAATGAGCGACTAGCGTCGGAGAAAGTGCTCTTATCGGGTAACATTCTGCTCGCACTCCCCAGAGCAAATGAAATAATTCTAGTTTTAATAACAAGAAAAATCAGTTAATTCAGATATCAAAACCAATCGTTATTGCTCATCCACTAATTAGCGGTAAATCAAAAAAAGAATTAAATAAAAAGAATGTTATACCACATGAAATCCTATGAGTTTTGTTACAGGTACTCGAAAGAAAAAAACGGAAGTCGCGCAGAAAATCCCTTAGTTGCCTCCCTTTGAAGAATGGGCAGAACAATCACTAAGAACACTTATTTGACAAGTAGTTTATAACGCATTCTACTAACCTTCCTTGGGGAACTGGTTGTACTTGGGATGAGTGTGGTGTTCGTTGAGGAAGAAGAGCGTCTCTGGCAAGTGGGTGAAGAAGAGGGAGCGGTGTCTGGTGGCCATGTGATCTAGACAGTATTCGGCCAGTCTTGCCACTTTCTCCGTCTCATCCACGTACAAAGTCAGCATTCTGCAATAAAACTCGACAGTCCATGCAAAAAATTGCGACATTTTTTATTCACATTGTATCATTCAAAACGCATAAAGGTGCTCTTTTGCAATAAAAATCAGATCAAAACATGGCAACTATATACATGGATTTCTTTTTTGTTCAATATCTTTTTGAATTGAATTTTTTTGAAGTTCAAGCTCTGATAACATTTAACAAAAAATCATTGTAGATGAAGCATATTCATCCGACAAATTTTGAATCATAGCATAGGAAGTTCAGCTGAATCATAGCAAAGGAAGTTCAGCTTTAAGGCCCCACCTGAAAAAAAGACTGTCGCGTATCTTTATGTACTCGTTCTGGAGCAATTCAAACACCACAGCTAGTGTCTGGTATCTCAGGAATGAATCTGGACATGCTAGATATCTGTATATTCGGGGCAGGAACCTCTCCACTGTATGCGTGTATCGCTTGCATAGGTCACAGAGAACTATTATAACGTTGTTGGCTACTTTCAGAGAGCAGTAATTTTCTCGGTAGTCGTCATGTGTAGAAGGGGCGATCAGATCTCCCAACAAATCGGCTCCTTTTTGAAAAAAAAAAATCTTTGCTTAACCAAAATAACCGACTCATAACAGATGTTTAGTAACAAGCAACTATCTGAAGTTCTTGTTGATTTTAAAGATTATGTTAGTTGATAGAGATCAAAAGGGGGAGCGGTGGTGAAGTGGTTACAACTCTGCCTCTCAATCGAACGCTCGAGGCCCACCCTGGTCCTTGCTCGTTGCTTGCGGATTAGGCAACATTCCTCAGCCCAGAAAATTAATCAAAAAATTGCATTTAGCTCTTAAAAGAGGCACAGCAGCGGTTCTCCGTAGTGAGCTGAACAGCTTGTATGTTCGTCCTTTCCATTATGTATAAGTCGTCATAAAAGTAGTTGACAATTTTGTTGATTTGAAAGCTGATGCTAGTTGATGTAGGTCAAAAACTCGCATGAATCACAATTCAAACTTAGTCGCAGCGGATAAACGGAAAATTCGAGGAAGTAACCTTGTTTATTGAACTCTTCGAAGATTAGACACATGTTTCCAATGGCGATCACGCCCACCGCCTGAACAGACGCCATATGTTCATCATCCAGCTCCGGATTCTCAGCATTTTGCTTCCGAATACTTAATAAACTTTGCATCATCTTCAGAAGTGGTTTGAAGCAAGACTTCAGGGACGAAAGAGCATTTGAACACTCTTGCAGATTGCAGAAGGTCAGTTGGCCGACTATGAACAGTTTGCGCATGAAGCTCTCGTTGTCGAATGCTGGTTCGTCCATTAGATACACGGAGGGGTCATAGGTTTTTATTGCTTCTTTTGTTCCCTAAAAAACCTAACCAATAGTTTTAAAATCAAGCTCCGATTAATTCTAAGGCGATTTATTCATTGATCAAATAATATCGTTATGAGTGAGTGAACCTGAAAAAAAAATGGTAAAAATTTATGATATTTGGTTTAAAAAATGGTTCCCGCAATTTTCGTGACCAGCTAACATGCGGAAGCAAACGTTTTTCAATGCAATTTTCAACCATTGTTTTGGAATACTTTCAAAAATTTGAGGCTCTAACTATCCTAAGTTAGCTAGCTAAAATGTTAATCAAAAATACCTCTGCTGTAAAAATGGCGTAATTCTGCAACACTTCTTGTAACTCATATTTTTCCGTGATCACACTCACAGCGCCCAAAATATCTGTTGCGCAGTGCAATGGTAGTGACACTTTTCCCGCCACAGCCAACAGAGAATTCACTGCACTGCTCATGTCTGCTTTCGGGATTGACTTCGGGGATGAGAAGCAGAGGATGTCCATGATGAAAGACAGTCTGAATCTGTCATTCTGCTCAACGATTGAGTTGTCCATCGTTAGGTTGCTCGTCACTTCTTTCAACGCCTCATTGGCAACTAAATTCAAAGCTCAGATTTCAACTCAATAAATATTTGAGTGGTCTTTTTTGTTCTGGTTTTAAAATCGAAACTCCTCATTAACCTTGGATTTTTTTTATAAAATATCTAGCTTACAGTCATATTTGTGCATTAAACTGCTTTCAGACAAAGAAAAACAAGTCTTCGCCATATTAGCTAAAAAATATTTTCGCTTGAGAGTTGATTACAAAATAACAGTAAACAAAATGATTAATGAAAAAAGAAGGACAGCCGGTTACTGTACAAAAGGCACAGAATGTTCCAATCTAAGTTTTGTAACAAAATGGCTGAAAAAACGGAAAGTTTTTCTAATTTTATTGCAGAAATATTCAAAATTTGATTCCCAATTTAAAATTTTGAAGTTTTTGATTCCCGACATTCGCTAAAAAACTCCAAAAACTAATTTTACTCCAGTAAAACAAAGTTTTCACAGCTTAATTTAAGCTTAACCTTCTATAGGCTTTTCGTGCGCGCTCACCTTGTTAGCTTGAAATTAGACCAAAAAATAGACCAGAAATTTCAAAACGGTTTTTCTCGACACCGAGACTGAAGGGGCTTTAATATGACATATAACTCGACCCATTACGATGATTATTTCTGGTACCTGATTTATCGTGGAAAACAAAAAGAAAAAAACTAAAACACACCCAAATACGAAGCTCCTCCATATTTTTCAAATGATCGGAACAAAAAAGTTAACTGAACAATGTGTCATATATATTTCAACACAGATGCGAAGCTGTGCTTCGCAAACACTAGCGAGAACACGACAAAAAGCGGCTCTGTAGAGTGCAATAGTAAAAAGTTGAAATAAGCCTCAAATTACTGAAAATTCGGCTACGTCTCGGATTCGGTCTGCGAGCTAGAGATTATGAATCTCACGCACAAACCACTCAGCCATCAGCCACGAAATTTGAATACTAGCCACAAATAAAGCAGAGAACAGATTCTATTAAATTTCCAATGCTACAGATTGTGATTAGAGCAAAAATGCCACCAAATAAGTGAACACTTTTAATGAACACTTTTATTTGCGAGTTAGGTTGGAAAAAAGAAGGTTCGTACTACTACACTTCGCTCGCAAGTGTAAACATGCACTCTTACTTATTTTCCACTCCTCTGTCTTCATGATTCGAGATAGTAGCATCCAACACGACACCTCGTGTCTCTTTGCTCTAACACAGTCCACCAATTTTTCCACACTCTGTTGTAGAACTTGCCCGCATAATTCAGCCGCACCCAGTCGGAAGAAGTACATGTAGTTGTCAGATAGGGTCAGGATATCGAGGAGACTCCAGGCCATGAGGACTTCCGAGGAACAAGTGAGATCATCAGAGGACTCCATACGACTGAGAGGAGTGAGGACTGTCACTTCGAATACCGAAATGGCTCGCTCTACTACTGCCTTCTCGCTAAAAAATTCAATCAAAACACTTCGGATTCCCAATTCGCTAGTGTCCAAAAATTGAGTCACAAAAACGTATTTTTCTTTGCATCCAAATTTGTGGCAATTACTTATTTAGATTATTGATCGATTACGCTTTCTAGTAGCATGCGTTACGAGGAACAACAAATACAAGATGTTCAGGTCTGTGCGGCAAACAGCTGTTGCGCAAATTATTAAGACTTATAATCACTTTTTTCGGTTATTTCTCTGGCCTGGGAAATAATGCCTCGCCACAGCAAGCAGTGAGCACGATAAGGGTAGGCCTTGAACCACTGACCTTTCGACCGAGAGGCAAAAAATTGCACTATTTGCTATCGATCTTAATATCGGAATTCTTAATGGAATCACATTGCAAATATGGTTCCGCTAGAGTTCAACTTACGGGTCAGAGAACAGCGGCATAACATTGACCAGCCACGCTTCTTTGAACTGATGCTCCAAAGCGAACTCATGCAACAGTTTCGTGCTACTTTCAATTGCCTGCTTCCTAATTACCAACGTAGCATCCGTCGAGGCCTCATTTAGTGCAGCGATGATCAACTGTTTAGCTGAGCTTGTCGATAATAAACACACTACTACGTCTACGAAAGCTTGAAGTGCCGCTTTACGTACATTGCACTTCTCGTCACGACAACTCGGCAAAAAGATAAGTTCGAAACACGATTCATTCTCGCCAAGCGTGATAGCGCCACTATCGTGCAAGTTCGGGTCCAAATCCGGCGGCATCGTCAAAGCGCTGTTATAGGGCTCCTCATTTCCCTGATTTTCTGAACCATCGCGGAGCATAGATCTTAGTTTGGTCTTGAGAACAGTTGAAATTGCTTCGCTTCTCAGTTTACACATGGTCGAGATACAACTGAACGCTTTGGCTCTGATCGAAGGTACTTTGTCTGAACATCGGTCAAGTATAGATCCGACTAACTGTTCATGGTCCAGGTTCATTCTATTTTCAGTACCAGTACTTGAGCTGAAGTTGAGTAGTTTTTCGAGAACTTCCAGCACAAACAGTCTTTCATTTTGCTAGAAAAAAAACATAACATGTTAGTTAAAACTCACGAAAGAAGATATACAGATAGATTGATTTGACTCTCTCCATAAGCATCCACAATTACTCTTTATTCATATCGAAAACTAATACATATTTTGCATTTAAAACCTAACCAGGGCGCAGCTTTGAGAAACAAATGAAAACAATACGGGACGCATTTAGGATTTTCAGAAGGTGCAATTTCTAGACTAACCAAAGTGATTTTACGACCTCTCCTATAAAAATGATGGAAAAATAAGTCGCAAATTAATAAATACAATTTAAGGTTGGTTTAGGTAAAAATGGATGCCGTTTTGTTGTTGAGGGAAAGGAAAACTTCTACACGCTTAGTTAGTTTGATTAATAATTACCTTCGAGCTGTGTAGTTTACTGAATAGCCACTCGGACATGACTTCGTAGCAGTACTCTGGAAAGAGTGATATGATAGACACCAAGGAGTCCGCTGTCTTGCTCCTGGAACACAACGACGTACAGATTCCAAAAGAGCATCTGATTTAGGTCATATCGTTGATTTATTAGTATCATTAGACTTATTAGTATCATTACGGACGAATTAAACATTTTGAAAATGTTCTTTGCTTCTTTGTTATCTTGAATTATCTCGTCCTATAACATACCAGTTTCTGCAAAAAGAGGACTTACCTTTGAAAATAATACTAAATACTTCCATGTGATACTTTTGCATGTTCCATTTACATAAATCGATCTGTTTCGACAAGCTTCTATCTGCTAATTTTAACATTAGAGAATTACAAACCGATATTCCATTTTGTCCACTACACCCACAGTCACATGCTGAGCCAGAATGAAGGCACTCTGCGATGCTTCTGGTTTCTCCTGGATCAAATCGCGAATCAGCTGGACAGTCAGCTCGGCCATACGGACCACTGGTTGTGTCAGTGTAGCCTGTGCTGTGGATCCATCCAGTTGGTTTGGGTTCCTCATCAGCACAATCGGCATGAGGTGTTTCATCAGTATACTGTCCTGTATCAGGGTCAGTTGGTGAATGGGGTTAGTCATGTAGGTTCCTAGCACTTTCAGGCACAGTTTAGCATCCAGGATCCTAAACAATTACACTGTACAAGCAAAAAAGGACAGTGCAAAAGAAATAGCAAAAGAGCAAAATTATTACGAATTAAAATCATTGTCAACAGCAAAGTTAGGAAAACACAGCACTAAAGTACCTGCGATACGCAAAAAAAACAATACTATTTCTTCTCGCCAATTTATCATTCGTTTTTATAGACTTTTTCATAGCCCCTTAGGTCCGAAAAGATCAACCACTTTTTCAAGATCAAACTACGGGTTCACTCAAGAACCCAGCGGAATTTACAATGGATCCCAACAAAGTTATGAACATACATGATTGCACAACCTACTTTGAGAGCTCCTTTGGTTTCGAATACGTGCAATAGTGCAGTGCACTTGCCAATCTCGTCACTAGCATATGTTGGGAGAGATCGGACTGAGCAAGAGATACCCTCTCCATGACCATATTCAACACTGTGAACAGTTTGTTCACCAGCTGCAGGAGGCTTCCTATCTGGGGAGACCTCAGACTTCCACTATCTCCTTCGTCATTATCTTCATCAAAACTCTTTGCCGAGGGTCGCGAGCGTGACTTGTTGGATGTTTTGTTTTGTACCTCTAAAAATGCTCAAATATAAGCATCAAATTAGAACTTTAACCAAACAAGTATCAGGCTCGGAGACAATACTGCTTCATAGTAACTTAAGAGCAGTTTAATTAAGATTCGATAGTTCATTTCGGTACGGTAAACGGTAAATCTCTGAAATGGATAAAAATTTCAACAACGACATCTTTTTTTAGATCTAAAAATCACATAAAATCTAATATTAGAACTAACCATTGATTAGAAATCTGCAGACGCTTTGCGGTTGTTCCACAGCATATTGAAATATACCCACGTCAAATATCCCATTCGCGCCTGCACCGTCAATAACAAGTATATTCAGGTAGCATATATACGACCACAAATTAAGAGTCAGTCCTTGGTACGTCTGATTTTTTGGGTCTGAACAAAGTGGTTTGCGCAACTGTTCGCATATTTTCAGAATATTCAGACCTGAAGATTGAAAGGAAGACCAGAGAAGAGATTTGTACTCGCTTTGTGCAATGAGATTGCTGGTGGACTGGAAAGCTATTATTAATGCAGACTGATTTTGCGTGGCGAACTCTGAGAGAGGGAAGTTTGGAATGTCCCGCTGGCACCACTGAGACAGCGCAGTATCGCTGAGCTGATACGGCCGCCTCATACAAACAAAACTAATCTGAATTTAAGATGGAACCGGAATCAATTAAATAATATCAATTGTTCTGATGAAATCTTCTAGGCAGCGAGCATGTTAAACTCTTGAAACTGCCAAGAATTTTCGCTTACACATCAGCGAGGTGCAGCTTAGCATAAAGCACATACACATGCAACGGTTCAAAAAAATAGGACTTGATCACAGAGGTGAAGCGGGACTTGTGTTGCAACACAAATTTAGCATGACAAAAAAGCTGACAGAAAATGAGACGCTCGCAAATTTGATAACGCTTGCAAATCACAAGCATTAAAACAGATTTCAAGCATTCGTCTTCCCGGTTGAGAACTGTTCTAGCTGCCTATTGGATTTTACACATCCAATATTTACACATCCACATCCGACTAGGCGCTCTAAAAGCGGGACAAAACGTTTGATTAAATCAATCGTCTCTGAAATTGAGCAACAAACTTGTACGAAATAGATGTGAAAAAATAATAATTTTGTCTTACAGCACCATCGGTTGGTTGTGTAATCACGCAAAAAATGTATTTTTTATTAAACGATTTCAAGTAGATAACTTGAAGTTTTTTGAAAATTTCTAGAAAACTAAGAAATCAGGCCAATTAAAATGAGCCAAAACAACTTAGACCGCATAAAGCATTTGAGCAAAAAAAGAAAAAAGGATAATTTACTTCGTCAGGTTTAATAAATTTACAAAAAATTTCTGCGACGCGGTAACAAAATAAAATCAGACAAACTATAGGCCAACGATTTTTTTAACTGGAATATTTTCAGTTTGAAAAAAAAACAGGTCTTGGGCGCAGGGGCAGATTTAGGGGGGGGGGGGGTCGGACACCCCCTCTCTCAGGGATTGGACCCCCTGCCGACCCAAAGGGTCCACCCTTTGTTCTATTTTGAGATATCCATATTTGGTGACGGACCCTAAAAATTTTCTAAAAGCGCCTTTGGCGCCAATATATACTTACTTTAAGAGGGGAGCGCGCGCCAAAAAAACGCACTTTTTTTTGGTCAAAATTTTCTAAAAGTGCCTACAAACGCCTTTTTTGGCCTGTTTTTCAAAATTTCGCCTGCGGCGCACAAAATTTGACCAAAACGGTCTTTTTAGTGCTTTGAGAGAGCTCGGAAAATCCATTCGGGTCGACAAAAACTTCGAAAATTTTTGACCCCATCCCCTCGAGAAAATCCTAGATCCGCCCCTGCTTGGGCGGATTTAAACTCAGGACCTTTGCTAGCCTAGGCCCAGTCGTCGCCTCTTGGCCAAGTTTACCGGAGAAACCGAGAAACCTTCTTTGCTTATATATCAAGCTATCAAGTAATTTCGTTAAACAAGTTATTATACCGGAAAAAAGCAAGCGTAATTACTAACTAATTCGTCTGACATATTTTGTGGTTTCAACAACGCTCCAACAACTTCAAACAAAATCATAAAATAACAAAAAGAAAGCTTAAAGAAGCCGGACATATTATACCATTTTGATCAACCAAAACAAAGCTAAAAAAATTTCAGTTCACAGGATCAATGAACAATTTTTGGCGTGTTTGAAAAACAGAATCTATCCATATAATCCGTTCAACAATTCCAGCATTTGACATTTTAACAAAACTAAGGACAAAGTAAGAAGAAAAATACAAAAGAAACTTGATACAAATGAAGTCTTTGAAAACTTCGGATGAACGTCATCAATGACAACAAAATGAGTCTTTGCAAAACAGACAGAAAAAAATCAGTCGGACACAATTTAATTCAAAAACATCTGAAGATATAGGTCAAAAACTCATTATTGTGAAAATTATGACAGTAAAAACTATTAATTTAGAGCTTTTTCGAGGTTAATTTTCTGATTTCACTCAACCCTCAGGCCATAACTGAAGTTAATATAAAAATAAATAAAACTAGAAAAAAAGGTTTTTTTTTCAAAAAACTTTTGAACGATTCGCTAAAACTGGTTAAAAATTATGTGAACATAGATGTGTAGAAACTTTTAAGCGTTAACAGCGCGCTTCCAATTCGTAGCAGCGCGCTTCCAATTCGAACCCGATGAATCCGAAAAAAAGTCACAAGTCATTTTGCGTGTTGCAAGTAAGTCTATAAGTATACTCAAGCCCACCGAACAGAAAAACAGCGTGTAGCTAGAAATACAAAATCGCAGCTCAAGCGAACGCATAACGCAAAATTACATCGAAGATTGGATGGATTTGTTTTAAAAAAACTCCAAGAAAAGGGAGTTTTTTGTAACAGCTATATTACCAAAAAAAAACAGGCAAATCTGCACTTCGCAAAAACCCACAAAATAGCTAGAACTAGCTTTTAAAAGATTTCGAAAAAACCGCCAGGCAAAAGTTTAATAAAATAAAACCCCTCTACGTGAATCGAACACCGGACATCGATCAAACAGGTAGAAAGAACTACACTAGCGAGCCTTTGATGCTTAAATAATGAAAACACTAGCCACTCATTAAGAGGAGAATACAAGTTATCATATAATGAAGCAAAATAGTATAAAAAATTGAACTTTTTTATGCGAATTGGAGGACAAAGAAAGTATTCGTAACATAACACAGAACTAGCAGGCTCACTTGTTTAAAAACGTTATCTAATGCGACCTTTCAAAAAATCGAGCAAATCGTCACTTGCATGCGACATCGTTTGACATTGTTCGAATCTGTCAACAACGTTTCCAACGGTAAAAGTAAATCACGCGATTGCAAATACACTTGCTCTCTTAAGTCTAAGCAGATTCAAAAAATACAGAAAAGTGTCAATGAAGAAGGAAACAAACATACAGACTTGTTTTCTGCAACATTTAATTTTTCGCACTAGACAGAAATTATATGCAGTTGAAGTTCTTCGAGTTTCAAAAACAAATTTATAATTAACACCTTTTTGATTAACTAAAGAAACACAATTAGAGAAAACTGAGTCAATGGGTAAACCTTCTATTCCGCTGGGAAATCTCAATTTTCAAATCCACTTTCAAAACTGAAATTCGGTCACGTATTATGCGCTATTTGCACATTTGTTAATAGACATTGTTTTAATTTGAATTTGATTTGAACACAAAAACAAATGGTATGTAAAACGTCAAAAAACTTCAAAACTTTTTCCTGAAAAAACTTAAACGCTCTCAATAAGTGTATCTACTCCGTTTATTGTCACCTAATAAGCACAATTGAAAAATACAGTAATTTTGATCAAATCGTTGAAAAAAAAACAATTAAATACTGATCAACTAGAATGCATGCACCATTAAGAACATAAAATTGGCAAGGAGCAAAAAGAATTGCCTAAAAAATTATCAAGGGCCATATCAAAATTTAAAAAAAAAACGTCTGCTAAACGCTTGAAACTGAAATAAATGGAATGTACATAAACAAATCTTATACAGCCACAACTGATCGACTAATGTCTTTTGATTCCCATCGGTTCTGGGTGATATGTTACAATAGCTGGCAGCATCAAATCGAATAGCTGGATCGCTTTTTGTTATAATTCGAACAGTATTTAAAATTTATTTGAAAGGCCAAATTTTTTTGGCGAAACTGTAAAATTAAAATTTTTGAATAACATTTCATCTAGCAGAGTAGTGTAACCACAAAAAATATCTTAGTCGCATGTACAATTGATTGAAAAGGAAATGTCTATAATATGCATTATAGTTCCCAAATGTAATACATGCACTCTTCTCAAAATTACCACCTATTGCAACATATCACCCGGTTCTTGCCAAA